GCCGGGGGCGCCGAGGCCGCGGTGGGCCCCGCGCTGACGGCCCGGTACCCTCCAGCAGTCACCGAGGACCACAACAGCTGCAGAAACCCGGACGGCGACGCCGCGCCCTGGTGCTACATCCGAGGCGCCTCCGGGGACCCCGAGCGCAGACCCTGCGACATCGTCCAGTGCTCAGGTAGGAGCGGCCGCAGCCGTCACCCGTGTCCTGCTCCCGGGGCACTGCCTCCTGGGGCTGGGTTTGTCACCAGGGTGGGGTCCCCCCATGGGACAAACAACCCCAGGCTGTGGCAGCACCTGCTGCCCCCCTTTTCCCCCAGGAACAGAGTCTAATCCTCCAGCCCTCGCCCGGGTGTGCACATCTGCCTCCCAGCTGTGCCTTGCTCTGCCCCAAGAGCTATTCCAATAGTAAGAGAAAAGGCCTGTGCAAAGCCTTGCCCCCCTGCCCCATTTCACTACTCGCTCTAGGGCTCTAGCTGTTTTGCAAAAGACTGAGGTCTGGACATGTAGAGACTGCAGAAGTGTTGGTAGACTGTGGGGCTTGTTTTAGCTGTCTAAACAAGTGTCCTGCTGATAAACGAGTGCTGGGGTGAATTTGGGTACAGGTGGGGGGAAAGAACTTGGAGAAAATGAGAATTGAAGGGAGGACAGTAAGAAACAGAAAACCCCAAACACTGGATTCCTTCTGGTTAGTCAGGATGATTGCCAAGAGAAGAACTGTAGCTGAAGCCTGTTTCAGGGTGAGGAGATGTCAGAATTGACTGAGGCCAAAGTAACTACTTGTGTTTTTTTTTTAACTGTTTACTTATTTCTGAGCCCCTCAAGATTTATGAACTCTGCTGTCCTTGCTTATAAGCAGTTCTCCCCAAACATACACCCTCCCCTTCTCTTCACTCATTTTTTCACTTGCTTTTCCCTAAACATGAAGCAAAGCAAATGTTCTGCTACCAGGATCCTCACTCAAAATGCTTCTGCAGCTTTGGGATCAGGAGAGTTACCTGACCTTTCATCCAATGCACCACTTGCGTGTTTAAGGGGTTTGGCTGGTTTTGTGTCTTGAGAGCAGGCACCTTTTTACTGTAGTTGTATCCTGCAGCTCCCCTTAGTTCAGCCCTTCTGGCTGACCCTAGTAAAGTCACTGTGCAGTGCAGGAGACCCTGATTTCCTGTCTCTAACCCCCCTTCTGTACTTCCATTTCACATTCCACTGGGGACTCAAAATGGCTGCAGATAAAAAATCCACACTGAGTTATTGCCAGCTGTGGGGCCAGATCCAGGTGGAGAGAGTTTTCAGGTGTGGATGCATACAGTCCATACCATTACTAAAAAGTAGGTGTTTTGTCTGGAACAAGTAATAGAGGTCTCCTTTACACTGTCATAGCTTTTACTGTGCTACAGCTTTCATTTTAACGTTGTCATGAAAGAAGGAACTACCTTGAAAATCTTTCAGTGCTGTTGATAAAAAATCCATAGGGCTGGGAAGGTGTCTGTGCTCTGAACATCCATCCCTATGCAGCTTTGTTTGGACTCTGGCTGAGGAGGAACTTGCTGAACTTCAGTCAGTAGCTGTGCTGCATGAGGGGTTGCTCTGACTTAGCCTGTGCATCATACTGGATGAATTTGTTACATGGCTGCAAAGAGGGGCTTTGTAAGAAGAATGTCCCCAGGTTGTTTTCACACCACCTGGAGTCTCCTGTCAAACCTTCCTGTGTCAGGAAGATTGAGGCAGAAGAGAGATAAAGAGGCTCCTGGGAGATCTGGGATGGAGATTTTCATCATCTCATTTATGTCTGTTCAGCATGATTGAAGCTGCAGCCTGTATATTGATCTACACACTTAAATGAAGTCATTGTGCATCCCCTGGACTCATGCCCTGAACCTGGGTTTTGTTCTACTGTCGGACTTCTGTCTTGTCTGTGGAGGTGCCTTACACTCTTAGTTAAATAGGTTCACATCAAAGGAAAGTGGGGGGAGGAATAAATCTCTTATTTGCCTTGATAGGATTTCGGGCAACAGCTTAAAAAGGAGCAAGTGTTTGTCAGTGTACTTTGAAGGCAGTTCAGTGATGCCTGTCTGGATCTGTCCCACTCACAAGGCACATGTTGTTTTGAAGTAGACATCAGTGCTTCCTACTTTCTGTGTCTCTTTTCTCTCAACAGATGTTACAGCTGCCACAGCTGCAGGTCCTACAGCAGAAGCTGGTGTTTCTGAGGAGGTCGACCAAGTGTTTGAACCGGCTGATACCTTGCCCTCCCGGAGCGAGGCAGCTGCTGTACAGCCTGCCATTGGGATCAGTCAGAGAGTACAGATGAACTCCAAAGAAAAGAAGGACTTGGGGACACTAGGTACAAACCCAGGGTCATGTGATGGATCTATTTCTGTAATTCTGGCAGGATGGATTTGTTTTGAGGCTCTCAAAGCAATGCTATAGCTGGATCCACTGCCTCTAATTTTGCCTCTTTCCTTTCTTTCCTCACAGGGTATGTGCTGGGACTGATCATGATGGTGATAATCATTGCCATTGGAGCTGGCATTGTCCTGGGGTACATCTATAAGAGGTCAGTGGTTATTCTCCTTTGTCCAAAAGCTGTTGTGGGCATGAAGCAACATGTATAGGGCAGGAATGTCTGAGCACCTGTAGACCCAACCAGATGCCAGTGAAAAGGCAGATAGAAACACGTGTCTGGATATTGTGCAAGAGTTTTGCTTGTTGCACTGAAGAAAGAAGTATTTAAGAGTTAATCCCATTCTTCTCCACTTCACCCATCAATGTGGTATTCTGTCACATCTACAGTTTGAGACTGCCCTCTTTGTTTTTCCTTTGTGTATGTGTGTGCATGCGTGGCTTGATGTGGCTTCCTCAGATGCATCCAGGAGAGCAGAATTTTACATAAAAGTTGGAGAGTGCAGATCCTTGCTGCCCTCACAGGAAGTTTATTTCTTGATCAGAAGGAGAACAAGCCTTCTAGTAGACTGCCTGTTCCCCTGGTTTCCCTAGTCTAGCTAGCTTTAGAAGAAAAACAATTGGCAGATTCTTTGCCACTTCTGTGTTGTATCCTATGAAGCTGATCAAATAGCAGTAGTATTTTGTTACAAGCAAAGTTAATTTTACCAAAGCTCCTGTATGCTTCAAGGTCAGTTTTGATTCACAGTTTGGTTCTGATTTGTTTTGCCACTTCACTATGTTGTGCAGAAATGTTTCTGTAGCTCAGCAGTGTTTGAGGTTAGTGGTAATAGCAAGCAGCTTAGTTGTGAGAGACAGGGAAGGATTAACAAATAGCAGTGAATGTTGCTGCAGCAAGTGAAGGCCCAGGCTCCTTCCTCTGGGAAGGTTTGTTCTGTATTTTGGCTGTTGGACAGCAGTTGGACACAACCAAGCAGAAGGAGCCCTTTCCCAAGTTGGGACATGTCCTTATGTAAGTGTTTATAATAAATGCTGACAGAAAAAAAAAAAAAAAAAAAAAAAAGGGGGGAGGGTTACATAAGGGGCAAAACACAGAGGGCTGCTTGTCGAGGAATTTGATTCGGGGG